ATTTCTTGTTTCCACATCCTGTATGCTTCCTTTCCGTGTTTGCGTTTGACCAGGTCTATCTTTCCCAGTCATTCAGGAATTCAGACATTTTTATTCAGACGCCTCAGCTCCACCATCCCATGGCCGCTGAAGCCCAAGTTCTCTTGGACCTTCACATTCCCCACAAACCTTTCCTTGCCAATTAGCACATGATCCTGCAGGACACCACTCCTCATAGGTTCCTCTACAGCTTGGTCAAGAAGCTGTCACCTGTGCTGTCCAGGGATCTTCGGGATGGCTTCTTGATGGGACAAATTCAGCAGATTTCAAATTACAGTCATGTCTCTGTTGTCTTTCAGGAGTTGTTGGCCATGGAGATCCAGGGACATCTCAGGGGAGATCAGTAGGGAGAATAAAACTCACAGCCTCTGCTGCTGAGCTGGTTCCAGGCTCCTGGAACACAGGGAGCTCCTACAAGTGGGCAGCGCTGCAGAGAGAGAGCTGTGCCCAGGAGCACTTCTGCACAGCACAGCAGGGCTTGGGCCATGATCTCCAGGTGACATGAGGATAGAAGAGAAAGGAGAGAGAGATTTCAGGATGTGCACATTGTGAGCAGGCTGTGAGCTCACTGGAGGAACATTGCTCACAGTCCTTGAAAAGGGAATTCTCTCGCAGCAGGGAATACAGCTGCTTTTCCTACAAGGATCACTAAATGTGGGACATGCCATTGCAGATGAGGCTGCAGGCACTCCATGTTTCTTTATTGAGGATAAGTACCTGCTCCAGCTGAGGGCTTCCCTGCTGCAGCATCAGAGCACAGCCCTGAGGGCTGCGTGCCCCGGGATGGCTGCAGGCTGTGCACTGGGGCTGCAGCTGGGTGCCCAGGGCTGTCCTGCAAACAGGGTCCCCATCATGACACACGGAACAGATGAAAATGTCCAGGGAGATGGAATAAGATCAGAAAATGAGAGGAAGGCAAAAGTTCCTTCAGCTTCTTTTCCTGATGGAATGCTGAATTTCATGAAATTAAATTCAAGCAGTGGAGCTAAATGAGCATTGTTCTATGAGAAAGAAAATGTTTAATAGTATAGCAGGAGGAGTGACTCTGGAAATGGACTTGTCATTATCTTCTGCACTCTGAGCAGGACTCCATGCCCAGGAACTGCAGATGCAGTGCGTTTTGTTTTCATAAACCCTGGAGCTCATATGACTCTCTCACAGCCTCTGTGTTCCATCTCTGTATCTGCAGGCAAATGAGGTGCCAGCAGGCACCATGGAGCTGATATAGGCTGGATTAGCAAAAGGAATTAATGCATCAGCTGAAGGACCAATACATTCTTTTAGCAAACGGAATCAGGATGTGCTCATCCTAAAACTTCCCAGTTTAGCTTCACTTGGTGTGTGAACATCCCTGTTTTTATCAGTGAGCCTGTTTCGCAGGAGCACTGAAAGCACAATGGACTGCTTTTTTCTTTGCCTGCACCAGGTGCAAGGATTTGTTCTTGGGTTTGGTATCAACTGTTTGCAGCTATAGTGCAGCAAGATAGAAAGTTGCTGACTGTGGCAAAGCAAGCAATGGAAATTGGCCAAACTGGGGAAAAGAGCTAAAAGGTGAGCCAGGGTGCAGCGTGATGAAGAGTCACTGCCCCTCCTCAGCAGGACGGGGGAGAAAACACAACTCAATAATTCCTGGGTTGAGGCAAAAAAAGCACTTGTTTTTGCTTAAAACCCAATGACAACAAACTGTGTGTGTTAATGGCTACATATCAAACGCAGGTTTTTCTGCACACTTGGGTACAGCTACTGAATTCAGCATCCCTTTCACTTTAATGTATTAATTGAAACTACACCTAACCCACAACACATTTTACTAATGGTTTATATAATTGATGTGATTTCCAACACAGAAATCTGCTCAGTGTTAGTTAGGATTTCACATCTCTCTTATTCCTTACCTGTTTACTCTAATTCAAGTGATCTGCATGTTTGTATTTCAGTTTTGTCCTCTCACGTCCTGAACTTTTTTCCCCCCCCCCTAATATTTAACCATAACTTCCTAAATTACCCTTGTGTACCAATTAGTTATTTCTGTTCTTGCTGTCAGACCCAGTCTGTTGTGTCACTGCAGTTCGGGTAATGATTCACTTCCAAATGCTTTGGTCATTTGCTGAACTCCAGACAATTCCAATAACATTCCTTCAGTATCTCTGGATACTGAAGTGAAGGCTGCTAAGTTACAGGAACACACTTATCTACCAGGTGCCAGTTGTAAGCAAAGAAACAATCTAATAAACAGTTCCTTTGTGTGTGCTATAACAGATGCATTTTACTATAACACAGCCTTAGTCCTGAGATTTACTGTGTTTTCTTTAGCTCAGTATTTTAAGGATCTAACTGAGAAATCAGTATTTTTCCAAAACTTCATTAAACGTTGTAGTTCTTCATGGTCAGAACGATAATGTGGATGCTTTGACAGGACATCAGTGACGCAGACCAGTATAAAAATCTACTTGGACTTTCGGAAGTCCTTTGGCACGGTCCCACATCACGTCCTTATCTCTGCGGAGAGAGATGTGAGATGGATTTGAAGGAGGAGCTGCGCTGGGCAGCGATTGGAGTGCAGTGGGGAAGTGGTCCAGAGCGAAGGGAACCAGCCCTGCTGTGCTGTGCAGAAGGATTCTTCTCCTGGAGTCCCATTTTGGGACCGGCAGAGTGGTGATCTCTTCAGCTTGATGCACTCGAGGAGGGCTGACAAGTGCTGAGCTGAGGGTCGGAACTGACATGAGGAAATCAAACTCTATAACCACAGAGTGGTCCTAAAGCAGGTGTGTTTAATCAGCGCTGCACACATGCTGGATGCAGAATGGATATTGCCCACCGGGGGGCAAGAAATGCACATACTTAAAGAGCAGGCTGCTTACATGTGCTTTAGATGTCCAAGAATAGGCTGGTTTATTACAATGAGACCCAAAAATAATTGAATTTCCCCCCCTCCCCCTCCCCTGAGTCTCAATTATTTTACACATACGGTCTTTGCGATGAAACTCATTGTGTTGTTTTCTTAAGCTTGGGTTAGTATGGAGGACACCTGGCTGGTTCTGGTTGGAAAAGCGTCTGTTATTGGCAGTGAGAACCTGGCTTAGCGAGCTCAAATCTGCAGCTGCCGATTCAGCACACCATGAAGGCACATAACTTTTAACCAAACTTATTTTCTTTAATTAAGTAAACCTGGAGTAAAGTGTGAGCAAACCCAGAGTAAAATGTGAGTACGCTTGGTGTAGACTGTGAGTAAACACAGAGTAAACTATGAGTAAACCCAAAATGAAGTGTGAGTAAAACCGTGAGTAAGGTGTGAGTACACCCTTAGTAGAGTATGATTAAAACCCAGAGTGAAGTGTGAGTAAACCCAAAGCAAAATGTGAATAAACTTGTCCTAAAGTGTGAGTAAAACCCAGAGAAAGGCGTGAGTACAGAGTATGAGTAGACATGTAATAGTGTTTGTAAACCAGGAGTAAAGTGTGAGTAGACCCTGGGTAAAGTATGGAAAGACATGGAGGTAAGTGTGACAAAAACCTGGAATAAAGTGTGAGTAAATGTGGAGTAGAGTGTAAGCAAATTCTGAGTAAATCAAGTGTAAAACTGGAGTAAAGTGCGAGTAAAACCTGGAGTACAGTGTGAGAAAAACCCAGAGTAAAGTGCGAGTAAACCCAGATGAAAGTGTGAGTAAGCTTGACGTAAAGCGTGAGCAAAACTGGAGTAAGGGGTGAGTAAAAGCCAGATAAAAGTGAAATACCAGTGCAAAGTATGAGTAAAACCTAAGTAAGTAAAATTTGAGCAAACCCGGAGAAAAGTGTGAGTAAACCCGGAGTACAGTGTGAGTAAACGTTAAGTGTCAGTAAAACCCAGAGTCAATTGTGTGTAAAACTCTGAGTACGGTGTGGGCTCACATGGAGTAAAGTGTGGGAAGACATGGAGTAAAGCATGAGTACACCTGGAGTAAAGTGTGAGTAAATCTGGAGTGAAATGATCCCCTAACTTCTGTGCAGTATCTTCCTCTCTGGCCATGAGGTGGAGTATTAACTCTTTAATTACCCGTACTTTGTATGATGTTATGATGTGGAATACGGATAGCATAAAATAACAAAACCATGAGAATGTGATAACCTGGAGTAAATTGTGAGTATACCCGTATTCACATATAAGAAATTTATTTTGTTTCAGTTAATAAAAACAAGAGGGATAAGAAATCCTAACAAACTGTGAGAAAATTCTGTGCTGGAAATGATATAAATTATATAAAATATTAGTCAAAAGTGTTGTGGGTCTAGTTTCATTTAGTATATTAAGGTGAAAGGGACGCTGAATTCAATAGCTGTTCCCAAGTGTGCAGAAAAACCTGTATTTGATTTGTGGCCATTAACACACAGTTTGTTGTCATTGGGTATTAAGCAAGGAAAGAATAAAACGCCTTTTGTCTCAATACAGGAATTGTTGAACTGTGTTTTCTCCCCTGTCTTGCCTGAAAGTGATCCTCGGAGAAATGCCAGAGTCGGACAGGAACAACTGTAAGGTCACAGGGCTCCAGGCCATGCTTGCCTCAGCAGGGAAATGTCATGCCCAGATCAGCTTCCATCAGTCCCCATCCCTCCTCTGATCTGTTCAGCCACTGATGGGTGACTCTGCACTGACTGTACTGGTCAGGGTGGGAAGCAGAACCAGATGGATGGGGATGAGCGCAGCTATACTCCCTGCCTGGGAGTCAGTGGTCGTGCCAAGTGCTTGGAAGGACAATGAAGAATTTCCAAAGCCACTACGAGTGTGCAGCTGTGCCTGGGAATGATAGAAATCTCTCTCCGTCCTCCCTTCCCTGTGCCTGTTACATCTCCACAGCCTCAGTGAAGACTGCAGACCCCTACTAGTGCAACTATTAATTATAACCATTAATAAAACTACAGCAATATATATAAATTAAATAAATATTATAAACATAAAAGAACGTAAAATAGGCCCATTATGGGGAAGACTGTGAGTCATTAGTATAGAGAGATGAGAAGTTTATTGTTGCTAAAAAGTGTCCATGTCCTCAGCATTTTCCTCACTGCATCCTTGAGCTCCTGGTTCCTCATGCTGTAGATGAGGGGATTCACTGCTGGGGACAACACTGAGTACAGAAATGATATCACCATGTCCAGGGATGAAGGGAAGAGGGAAGGGGGCTTCAGGTAGGCCAAAAAATCAGTGCTGAGAAAAATGGAGAGCACAGCCAGGTGAGGGAGGCAGGTGGAGAAGGCTTTGTGTCGCCCCTGCTCAGAGGGCATCCTCAGCACGGCCCTAAAAATCTGTACGTAGGAAATTATAATGAAGATAAAACATCCAAAGCCTAAACAGACACTAAGCACAATAAGCCCAATTTCCCTAAGATAGAAGTATGAGCAGGAGAGCTTGAGGAGATGGGGGATTTCACAGAAGAACTGATCCACAGCATTGCCGTGGCAGAGAGGCAGTGAAAATATAGTGGCAGTGTGCAGCAGAGCATGGAGAAGCCCAGTGCCCCAGGCAGCTGCTGCCATGCTGGCACAAGCTCTGCTGTCCATCAAGGTCTCGTAGTGCAGGGGCTTGCAGATGGCAACGTAGCGGTCATAGGACATGATGGTGAGGATGGAATACTCTGCTGAAAATAAAACCAGAAAGAAAAAGAGCTGTGCAGCACATCCTGCATAGGAAATGACCCTGGTGTCCCAGAGGGCATTGGCCATGGCTTTGGGGACAGTGGTGGAGATGCAGCCCAGGTCGAGGAGGGCGAGGTTGAGGAGGAAGAAGTACATGGGGGTGTGCAGGCGGGGGTCGCAGGCTACGGCTGTGCTGATGAGGCCGTTGCCCAGGAGGGCAGCCAGGTAGATGCCCAGCAAGAGCCAGAAGTGCAGGAGCTGCAGCTGCCGCGTGTCTGCCAATGCCAGGAGGAGGAACTCAGTGATGTTGGACATTTTTACTTCTGGGTGTAGAGACCTATCCAGGAATGGTAAGAAAAGGAGGTGCCAGGCCTGCCTTTAGAGGAGTCAGCTTTGCTGTAAGTCAAGGACAAATTAAGGTTTCTACCAGACTTTCCTGCATTTGAGGAGGGATGTTTTCTGCAGTTGAACGAGTCAGATTCTGTCCACTGTTTCTGTGGGGACAGTCACTGTTGATCAAAATGAGAGATGAAATTGGTGCATTGTCCATCTGCCTGTGTATGAGAAGAAGGAGGGATTAATCTCTTCATCCTTTGCCCTCCTCCAGCGATTTGTCCCTACTATCAGAACCAGAGATCTCATGCTCCCATGCTGGGCATGGGAACGTGGCTCATGACTGCAGAATCGATTAAATCCTCTGCATATGGCCTTATTTTCTAGAGCACAGCCTGATTTCACACCAATTCCAAATATTCGAATATAGTACATCTCCTGGTACCAAATGAGTAATGAAATTTAAACAGCATGGTAGTAAGCACACAGATGAAAGTAAACTTCTCACCTTGCTCTTCAGATGACAAGAGGTAACCTAATCAACTACTTATGTGCCTCTTTGGGATTTCGATTAGCCCATAAAATTTAGGAAATGGAAAAATTCTTCGGGCTTTTCTTTCTTCTCAGCATAAACACAAGTTGCTGCTCAGAGGCAGAATGTCCGGGCTGTGCAGAAAGTCATTGTCAACTTCTCTCTCCTTCAGCTCCGCTCTGGGGAAAAGGAGGAAAGCGACATGGTGAGGCTTCTGATTCTCAGGGCTGGAGAAAGGGCACAAAGGAGCTTTGCCCATCTTGGAGCTTGGGGCAGCTTTCCAGGGCACCTCCACTGTGGTAGCCTCGAGATGATGTCTCCCGGGGGGTGGGAGCTCACTCCTGAAACTGAAACAACTGCACTGCGCAGAGCTTGAAATGCTCAAAGGAGACAGGAGCTGTTGCAGAAGTGCCAGAGAGAGAAGAGTAGCATTACACAGAAATGGAAAAAGGAGGAAAAAAATACTGTGATCCTCCTGCTGACGGAAGCAAGGAGTGAAGAGACAGCCAGCACTCCAGAAAGCCTTTTCCTTACCACCCCTCAGATAGCAAAGTCTCAGAGTGTAACTCACAGCCTCTTGGATCTCTCAGCAAAAGGAGCCCATGTCCAGAGCAACTCTGTTCTACAGAGCTGTGGCTGCAGAGGAGCAGCTCATGGCCTGGCCCCAGGGCTGAGAAGGCAGAGGCTGTGCTGGTTGGGAGGGGAGCACAGGTGCTTTGCTCACAGGAAGACATCTGCACTGGAGGGACAGATGGAGGGCAGCCCAAACCCACCCTGCAGAGCCTTTCTGCGACAAGTTCCCTGTCTGTTTCTGTCCCTGTATCTGCACCCTGGAGCTCTCCCTTGCTGTAGCTATTTCTTATCAGCCACAGAGCCCATCCCAGCCCCTGTGCACTCAGCTGTGCCCTGCAGACCCCTCCTGGCAGCAAGGCAGCATCCATGAGCATCTCCCTGCCTGCAGGTACTAAGCAGCAGGCCACGCAAACCCTGATGTGGCCAACAAAAAGGATTTCGTTGCTGCGTGCAGGCAGAGGAGTGGCATGGGGAACTTATGAGGTTCCTGGCAGGTTTGATTATCTCCCAGTGTAACGATTCAGGATTCTCAGTGCTGTATCCTAAGTTCTCCTTCCTTCCCTTTATGAGGAATCTAAAAGCACTGAAACACAAGCTCCACTTTTCCTGTACTGATAGAAAGTCATCTTGAAGTTTCTGCTTTGCTATGGAGCCATGAATCCCCTGCCCCAGGCAGCAGCTGTGGCAGCAGAAGCCCCCTGCCCTGCCGGGGGGCTCCTTCCCCCACATGTCTCCCCCCAGCGCCCTGGGCAGCTCCCCAGGCAGGCTGAGTGCTGAGTGCTGAGCCCCTGCCCCGGCACACAGCCCCTGGGGCACAGCAGGGAGCTGCTCTGCAGGACAGCCCTGGGCACCCAGCTGCAGCCCCAGTGCACAGCCTGCAGCCGTCCTGATACACGCAGCCCTCAGGGCTGTGCTCTGTGCTGCAGCAGGGAAGCCCTCAGCTGGAGCAGGTCCTGCTCTGCAGTAAAGAAACATGGAGTGCCTCCAGACTGATATGCTGGTCTAATGAGACCAAGAGAGATTGGATGGTCTTGTGTACTTTGCCCTGCTGATAGACACTTACTGTGTTAAGGTCTGCGAGCATTGCTCCTCCAGTGAACTCTCAGCCTTCTCTCTTCTGCACAGCATGTGGCATTTCTCTCCCTTCCGTCTCCTCATTCTCACCTACAGGCCATGCCTTCGGAGTCCTGCACTCTGCAGAAGAGCTGCTCCTGTGCCAGCAGCTGTATGAGCTCCCTGCGTCCCAGAAGCCCAGCCCAGCTCAGCAGCAGAGGCACAGATCAAGGGATCCCTTTCTCCATCCCTTTGGACTCCCTGCAGATGTCCCTAGGGCTTCATAGGATGATACATGGAAAAATACTGAAGGAGTCCTTGATGTTCTTTCCCTCTGTGTGGGAGAGCACGCTTCTTCTCAGCAATGTCACTGCTCCTGTCAGAGACAGAGTTAAGTAGAAAAGCCACCCTCCCTTGTCCCAGCACAGACAGGACACCTGGAGAGTGACAGGCAGGGATCACAGGTGCCCAAGCAGAGGAAAATTACTCAGATGAGTCGATTGAGGCACCTCATTCTGGATCTGGAGATATTCTTTTGGTGGGAAATCTCTCTTAGTGAAGTGAAAGATACCTACGTGGAGTTCAATTGAACTTATTCTTTACTCCTTTTGTTCAAAACATCATCCAGAAATACTGAGCTGAGAAAATGGATTCATGTGCCATAAGGAGAACTAAGTTGCTCTCTCTCTTCAGCCCAAGCTGTCCTCCCCAGCTGCCCTGGGAGTAAAATGGTCTCTGTCTCACGTACAGCCTTCATTGCCCAGCCATGCACAGGGTGGTTAGGCAATGTACAACACACATGCCCAATCAGATGATGAATGAGAAACAGGAAGTCCCAATTGGTGCAGTACTGATGTCAACATACCGTTGTAGTAGCGATCAGCACCTGCTGCTTTTCTGCTCTGAGCAGTCCTGCAACAGAAGGGACTTCTGAGAGACCAGACAAAGTATACAGCTACTTAACGTCCTCCATCTCCAAGGCAGCTGTACTGAAAGCCCACCAGTACCCTTTTTGGGTCCTTGAAGTGCTCTCTCCCGAAGCAATCTGTAGCAGGGATGCACGGAGCCTCTGGGCCAGTCACAGTGGTAATCACAAACATTCTTTTGCCATTCATTTCGTTAGGCTCACTTTGGCCTCCAGCAGAGTTAACTCATGGATTCCCCTGTCACTCCTGAAATACAAATCAGTTTTGTCCCTTCAAAACTTGATGACCTATGCAAGCCCCCTATAGCTCCCCTACAGCCTTTTGTAACCTTATATCTCCCTATATCCCCCCTATACCCCTCCACAGACCTGTATTGTGCCTGATTCTCCATATCACACTTAAAGCCTTCCCACTGCTCCCTGTCGCCCCATAGCCCTTTCTATCCCACCCATTTGCCCCTACAGACATTTATAGTGGCATATTTTCTTATATCTTCCTCCAGTTCCCCATGTCCCTCCCCATAGCTTTCTCCAGACCCCTGTCAGCCCCATATCCCCTGTATCACTTCACAGCCTTGTTATAACCCTGTATCTCACCAATATTCCCCCATCTCCCCCTATAACTCCTTATAGTACTTGTATTTGGGCCTATATCCGGACCATTTAGCCCCACATCCTTCCATAGCCCACCTTATACCCCCACATACACCCCCATAGCCCCTCCCAACCCCCCCAATGCTCCCTATAGGATTGGGGTGTGGGATATGGATATGGGAGGAATATGGAATGGGAGATCAGAAAATGGAATATACATGGGATGGGATGGGGATGGACAAGGGATCAACATGGGAAGAATGTGGGATGGATTGGGGATGAAATATGGATATGGGATGGGACTGGGATGATAATGGGATAAGTACATGGAATGGACATGGCACGGATGCAGATATGGGGGAGGTAATGGGAATAGGATGTGGGGGTATGGATATGGAATGGATTTGAGATGGCTGTGGGGTGGATATGATGGATATGGGATGGGATAAAGTTGTGGGATACGGACGAGGGATGGCTACGAGATGGGGCTGTAGTGGTTATGGGGCCACAGCATCACGGCTGTGCCACGCTGGTGTCACACAGTCCCCTCTGGTGGTGGCACAGAGGTCACCACCGTGCGTGTCCCCGTCCTCATGGCAGACGATGGTGACAGCACCAGAGGACTCCGGTGTCACCGGACCCTGCGGTAGGCAGGTCTGGAGGGGTGACAAACAACAGTGAGAGGCTCAATGACAGCATGGTGACAACGTGGTGCCGCCTGTGCCTGCCCCCATGTGATGGTCAGAGTGCAGGGAAGGGTGTCACCCGTTAGATGGTGACGCACAAGTGATGGCGACACCAGATGACGGTAACAACAGTGACAGCCAGGGATGGGGACACTGCGTCACGGCTGTTCCACACTGAGGTCACCCTGTGTCACGGCGTCACCTGAAGACAGTGACACTC